GCGGCTCGGAGGAGACACTCACACGTGCTGGTGGCCGGCTCGCACTGCAGGGACAGTGTCTGAAGACTCTCCTCGTCCATGTCCAGCTCCAGATCGGACAGGTACTGCTTCACTTTCCGAGCCATCTGGGCGTCCTCGTACAGCTTCTTGGCGTTGAGGAAGGAGCTGCGGCGCACCCGCTTTTTGTGGCCGCCGGTCGGAGCCACGTCCAGCACCGCCGCACTTGTGCTGCCCTGGCTCAGGGACCTGGAAGGCGGAGGGCAGGGATGCGGCTCGCTCTGGCCGGGGCTCACGGACCCGCTCCAGACGCGCCGCGACCTCTAGCAAGAGTCTATGTGCAAAAAGGTCACAGGCCTCATTCTGGTAAGTAAACTGTTGCAAAGGAACATTGCATAATGTAGATTCACATTTTTTAAGTTTAAAGAGATTCATATATACACTATAAAAAATATATATATATGTTTGGCACCTGTTGGGTTTCAACTAGAAAATTCTGTGTGTCACCTCTTCAGAGGAGGGTTCAAGGCAGCTCCCTCGCTGAGGCCAGCGAGTCATAATGATGACACATAAAAGCTCATGCAGGAATAATACACAGTCACAATCATGAAGAGTGACACTGAACTTATTTCTCCTAAAGAGGGCGTTTTACATCAATTTAGGTAAATTTAGCCACAAGGTTCACAACGGTTTTCTTATCACTTGGGTTAAATGTAGTGAGTTTTTTAAGTGACAGGGTCAATCTGTTAATAAGATGCTCATGCAAATGTAAAAACATCTGTATAGAAACTAGCACATGAGTTGTTAAGAATTATTTTTTTTTAAAGAATTGGTTTATAGGATGAAAACAGTAGTTAGTTGAGCTGTAAAAATTTTTAGTTTTTAAGACCTCGGGGCACCTTCTGCATATATCTACTCCTCAGGGATCTGTGCAACAGTATTTAAGTTGCACAGTTTTTCCTTCTAACCTCCTTCCTCCCCTCATCCCGTGTTAGACTTTTTCCTTTTCAAGACACACAAATTATATTAAAATACAGTCTTTCTGAAAGCTCAGAGGGATGCCTGGCCTACAGTCACCCGGAACAATCATCGATCGTTTCGCAGCTCCTGTGGGTCAGAACCTCAAAAGTGAAAGCCCCAGGAGATTACACATGAAGTCAGTTTGAAACTGAAATTCTGCAAGAGCCAGAGGGTTAGGAAAAAAAAATGCAAAAGTGCAAAGCATCAGAAAACACAGCAGGTAAGAAAACGAGGCACATGGGGGACGCGAAGTGGGCGCGGGTGCGCGGGGTCTCCACCACTTACCCCAGACTCCTCCACTTCTTCTTCCTGTAAGTGAGAGCCGTGGAGATTGAAGCGTGGATGTAGAGAGAGAGAGACAGAAAGATCACAAGCTCAGAAGGAAAGGACTAGACTTCCGGGTAAGCAGTCCTCGCAGCCCACACACATCAGTCGCCTCACACACACCACCTGACCAGCGATGTTTTTCTGGCTCAAAAGACAAATGCGTCTGAATCATTTGTTGTAAAAACCCCTTCCCGGAGTTAATCGTTCTGGACTGCACGGACAGCGAAACCCACCGTGTAGCGGGCCAGACCACACTGTAGGGGTTATTTACGCATTTTAGTTCAGACTGTCGGTGATGAGCTTAAGCTATGCACGTCTGAAAAAGGAGGAATGGCTGTGCCTCGCCTTAGATGAAAGGTGTCTGAAGGGCAGACTGTTTCTCAGCAGCCAGAAGTGCCCTCGAAGCGGGCTAAGGCGTTCACGCTGAGTCAGAGCTCGGGGGTGGTGCTCTGCAGGGCCTAAGGAGCCTCGCCAGCTACGGATATAAGTGTCCACAGTTTCCTTGTCTGTCAGGAAGCTCTAGCCCAACCTTCCCCAACCCCGCAAGCGCTGCTGAGGACCACACACTCACCGGGTCCTGAACATGAGGGCGGGATCCATGTTAACCGAGGCCATGCGGCCCACATGACGGATCTCTTTCGCAATCATTCTGAGCTTCTCGAAATTGACCAGCCCCTCAACCTTCGAGTCGTTTCCTGAAATTGGCAAAGAAGGAAAAGGGAGTCACGTGGCCTGTATGCTCCGCTTCCACCAGTGGGGCCCGAGGTCCTGCACTCTGAGTTTTACCTTCGTGAAGGAAGGTCAGATCCTTCTTGATCACTGGGAACAGGGGGATGATGGGAGGTTGGAGGTTTTGGCTGTTGAGGACATTGCGGTATTTCGCCATGTTTCTGGAAGGATCAAACAGGTCTTGGAGATCCTGGAACAGCTTTTCGTACTTGTTGGGAAGTTTTTCCCATGTAGTTCGTAGTCTTGCCACTGGTGCCAGGTTTAGGCCGCTGAGCAGAAAAAAAAGAAAAGTGGTGTGAAGTTAAACAACTCATCCTTAGGAAATGAAGGGAGTAAAGTCGTGTGCTGTCTATTAACATAGAACACCTCTGTGTGTGCCTTGTGTACTCGGCAGGTCACAGGATGCTTAAGAAACGATGAATAATTCTGGGTTAAAAGGACTTACTGTACAGCACAGGGTTTTACAAAATCTTGTAAAAACCTATAATGAGAAAGAACCTGAAAAATAATATATTTATATATAACTGACTCACTTTGCTGTACACCTGAAATACTGTATATCAACTAGACTTCAATTAAAAACATAATAATTCTGGGTGATGAGAATTGAAGATAGAAGACAGACAGGGACAAGGGACCTTACTCATCCTCCCTTTAAAACCTTCTGGTCTGTTTATTGTGAGCAAAACAACCAGAAGTTGAGGTGTCGTGAGGGCAGGATTTAACCCCGTTGCTTTGTCTCCACACACAGAGATGCTCCTGGCACAAAGCAGGCGTTTGATAAAACGGACCAGCCAGATACCTTACAGTCATGACATAAAGCAAAAGCCTTAAGAACAATAAGGGTATGATCAAACTCCCAGACAGAAAAAACGACTGACTCAATTAATTATTAATCACTCATCACCATCACCATCAGCATTGCTAATTGTTTCCGTCTGTGTTTCCTTCCAGCTGCAACTGCAGCACTTAGAGAAGAAGAAAATTAACCTTTAACACTGGGCGTCTGCTGCTTTGTGCTGGCTGATGGGACCCCACATACATTCTCTCACTCAGTCTGCTTGATAGTTCATGGGGTCACTGTTATTATATTGAGAAATAAACTGACATTCACAGGAGTTCAAATAATTTGCCTGAAGTCACAGAGCTGAAAAAGTGGTGAATGTAATGTTCTGGGCTCCAAATCAGCATGCAAGAAATTTTATTCTTTGTTTTTATTTTTAAATTTTAAAAAATTTTATGTATTGTTTGTTTGTTTTTGTTTGGGGGGGGTAATTAGGTTCATTTAGTTACTTACTTTAATGGAGGTACTGGGGATTGAACCCAGGACTTCATGCATGCTTAGCATGCTCTCTACCGCTGAGCTATACCCTCCCCCAACCAGAGATTTTAAATGAAGGATGGAGATTGGGGTTCAGAGAAAAAGAATGGTTCAATATGATTCGATTAAAAACGACTACACTCGTACAAATGATATGGTTTTCCTGGATTTCTCTATTTTTTTCACACTTCTTTAAAAATTATTTTTTAATCCAGATTCCCAAATCTATCCTATTTCACTTTTTTTTTTTTGCAGGGGGAGGCAATTGATTTCTCCTTGTTTTTAATCTGCAAACGGAATTGAGTCTTATGACAAGCAGGCGCTCCTACCTGATGATGGCAAACATCGAGTTGAAATTCTTGCACTCCCTGCAGTGCAGCGCTATCTTGATGAAATGCTTAATGATTTTCATCCTTTTCAGCTGGTTCGTCTCTCGCAGAATTTCAGATGCCACCCAGAACGTTTCCTGGTTAATGACTTCTTCAAATTTCTTCAGGTTGGCACAGCTGGTTTTGGACCTGAGCTTAAATAAATCGTCAATGTACTCAGTAGGCTCGATGTTGCGGAAGAGCTCAAAATTCCGCATGGAGAGCTGCGTGGCCACTTCCACGGTACTGAGCTGCAGCAGCGAGATCTGACTCTCCCTCAGCAGCTCCTGGGCGTCTTCATCCGAACACAGCGTTTCTGTCTCCATGTTGTTTTTCAAGTAGTACCTGGGGAAACAGGATTCAGAGGCTAAGCAGCCGTCTCCGGGCATTCCTTGAAGCAATGATGCTACCTCCAGAAGGTTTGTGAGAACGCTCAAGCGGACGATGGAAGGACCCCGTCCGACAGACAGAGAAGGCAGCGGCCGCCCAGTCACCAGACCACACGACCCCGTCCAGAGTTGTGGACGGAAACTCACACGTCACACCAATTTCACCGGCACCAGCTACAGTCCATTTGCTCCTGTCTTTCTTTCCCTGCCTTCTAGATTATTTTGTCTTTTTCTTTTTGCCCGAAGTGACAGCTCAATTTAAATGATCAGCTTAAATAAGGAAATAGGCTCTCAGGAAGGAAGTGGGAGAGATTCGACACGGGTCATCAGTTTCCCCAGAGAGATGCGTGACCTGAGACTACTGATCAGTCCAGGTTTACCGATTTATTCAAATACCAAAGAAACCTGGAAGCTGCTTCCCTCTCTCTGATCCAATGAGTAGAACAGCCCCAAAACAGATCTCAACTTTCAAATATCTGACTTTCACAAAAACCTTACTAGTTAAGTGGGGCAGGTCTGATTCCTCCGTCCGATGAGGAAACAGAGGCTCCCAAAGATTAACGCCAGCCGTAGAGACGAGAACTGAGTCAGGATTCCTGTCTTTTTGTAAGCAACTTGCTGAAAACAGAATCCAGATGTTTGCCCTGTGATTTGTGTTTTTTTTTTTGATTTTGTAGAAAGATGCTTTCCTTAAGCCAAATTCCATAAAGGGAGAAACGGCACCAGTGTGGTGGGTGTCCTGCCAAACTGGCCTTTTGCGTATTTTGCCAAAGCCAACAGGTCAGAAAACTCACACCGGGGGGCCTGGTCACTCACGGATTTAACTCTCTCAGTTCTGATGACTCACGAGGCCCGTGAGGGGTATCCGCTTCTAATTTTCCTGAGTAATGACTGTGAATCATGAATCTGCCCCCTCAGTGGAGATCTGGAGAACGCCATCATGACCACAGGTCTACCAGTGCACATAAAACCGAGAAGAACTGACCTCCTAAACCAGCACCACCTGCTCATGTCGGGGCTGGAATGAGGCAAGAGCAAAGAAGAGTGAGGAAGTCATGGCTGGGGGAAGGAAAACAGATGTTCTGGATGGGCTGAATCAGGTTCAGGTGTGTAACATGTAAAAGTCAAGTATAAAATGAAACATTCCACATGGCGAGAAAAAATGTGATTTCCAAAAACACTTCATTTTCAGGAAGTGTAGAAGCTCATCACTGTATGAGAGCCACACCTAACTACTTTTTCAACTTTCTCTAATTTGTGATTTGAGGATACAAATGACATCTCTCTGTGGAAACACCAATCAAGAGGCTGACAAAGTTAGAGGTGATGTTTTCCTGCAGGTATGTGTGACCCGAGCACTGAGGCAGCAGAGGGCTGAGCTCGGAAGCAGCTGAGGTTTGGCTCCAGAGTTAAGAAGTGTTGTTCAGGGCGTCCTGAACAATGACAGGCAGTGTAGCCAGGCTCGCCGTCCCACATGTCCCCGCCTGGACACGCAGAGCTCCCGGAGAGCCAGGCAGGCAGGAGCAAATGCCAGAGGACATTACTGGGAGACGCCTTTGTGGATAAGCATCTCCATGGAGAAGGGGCACCTGGCTCCCTCCGCCTTGGCCAGCCTGTGTCCTGACTGGGACGGCACTTCGGTCCCACTGCCCCGGTTCTGCCCTTGTTTTGAACAAGTTCCTAAGAGACCCTTGCAAGAGTCAACAATCTACTGTGTGCATTTCCTTTGAGATGGCAATTCTCAGGGAATGGGGGAAGCCTTCTTTTTAATCTGCAAGGGTCCTTCTCTTAAACACCCTTTGACAGTGGTCCCCAGACCCTGACATGGGTCTGAAATGCGGGTAAAGCAATCCAGCAGGAGGGAGAGTGTGTACCTTCCACTCAGCTGTATTCTGTCGGCAAGTTTGGAGAGCTGGTCTGGGAGTCTGCGCTGCTTGATGACCCCCTCGGGGGTGACGGAGACCTCACAGAGCGAGTACTGGTCCGGGGTGGCGGTCACTGCGAACTCCCGGATGGCCTGCACCACCACCTCCTTCGCCGTGGTGTCCTTGCTGATCATGAGGTACCGGCTTTGCTGGTCGGCCTTGAACACCCTCAGCACTTGATCTGGCAGGTCTGGGGGAGAAAAGCCGCACGTCAGGGGGAAGGACTGCAGCGCATGCTCATACAGTCAGGCGGAGTCAAACTGAAAAACATCTCCTTCGAAAAGATAATGCTGAACTTGTCTCTCTGCTTTCTTTAACCCTTCTTCAGAGCCCACCAGTCAGCACAGTGATCCGCTGTGTGAATGCAACGGTCCCCCTAGAAAACTGAACTGGCCACAGACCTAGGCAAGCAGATGATAGCACAATGGCCCCGCTTAAGGTTGGCACGTTGGCAGCAAAAAATGATCCAGTTAAATCTCAAGTCCACCTTGGTAATACTGACGAGCCCATGAAGTTGACCTAACGTGCCCCCTCCTCTTTATTTGACATGACCTCGCCATGCCTACCTGGTACGGGTTAAATTCCCTTTATGAAAGTGGACACAAAGTCAGAGAGATTAACTTGCTCATGGTCGTGTCAAATTAGCCCGAAGAATAAAAGAGCACCAGTTTCAATGGTTTAAAATTTAAGTTTATCCTGACTTTTTTGCATCCCATGTGGTCCATGCCAAACCAAGGGAGATGCATACAGCGTCACTGGTATGTTAGGGAAAACTGAGACAAGAAGACAAAAGCAGCGTCGTCCGCGCTCACCTGGAGTGGTGCTGAAGTCCAGGATGCGGTGGTGGGACTGCAGCAGGTCAGGGTTACTGGACGACAGGGTCCCGCTGACGGGCAGAGCGGCCGGGATGTGCTTCGTCTGCCTCAGTCCCACTATGCTGTCATCCTGAGACTGACCGATCCCAATATCACTGAACAAAGAGGGAAGTCAGGAAACCAACGATCAGCAAGTGAAGAAGCTACAACTCCTCACTGTACAGGAGGCAACGACAATAAATAAACCGTATTTCATATGACTCACAGTTACTGTAAAAATGTCATTAATAAATTTGGTTGTAAATTGCAAAAGCAATGACTGCTTAAGTGTACCTACTCCACTGATGTTCCTGAAGTTCATACTGTGTTTCTCTAAAACCTATGTCTTCTTAACTAGACAAATCAGGACAAATATTAGTAGTTTCTGAGTACAGAAATACATTCAGGAAAAGACAAGTTCTAGTTACTCATGGAAATAAATTTAAGAAAAAGCACACTTTAAAAAAGGCATTTCGTCCCTTAGATGATGACTTCTGCCTCAGAATGATAAGTTGTTTTATAATTTTATCTTTAAGAACTGAAGAAACTGAGTAAAATGAATAGAGGGAAAAAAAATCCCAATTTCATTTTCCAATGTTTCTGAGAAATAAATGAGATCATGGTGGAGTCAAATGTAAAGAAGGCCTGACACAGACATTATTTCTTGGTTGCACAGAGCATAAAGAAGCAGTGGTGCGTGGTGACATTTCTTGGCATCAGAGAAGAGGCAGTGAAGTCCAATGACTCACTTTTAACTCTCTACTCAAAATTTCTACTTAAACATTTAAGGTCCCAGAGAAATACTGCTTACTACTGCTGGGTACAAACTTATTTCCATTTATAAAAGCCTGGGGACAACTCTGAAACGTGATTTAATAATACATAAAAATTGTTTCTAGATTTGAAGGGCCAAATGTTTCCAAAACAAAACATCAGAATAAAACAATAAGTACACACAAAACACAAAATAACTAGGTCACAAGCGTGTGGTTATAGTTCCGACCACTTTCTACGAACACCTTGAAATGAGGAGAAAGAAAATCACACCAAGGTTGGGAAGTAAACCAAGGTGTCACAAATAAAATGAAGACACTCAGAATCAACTAGACTGTCAGACACTACAGCCTGATCATAATACCTGTCATTTTTAATGGATGTCCAAAAAAAAAAAGTCCAGCAGTATTCTTCCTCTTTGTTTTTTAGGGGGAAATGGAAATTATAGAGGCAAGTAAGCAAGGACAAGGCTAAAGATGATTTGAGTGTAAGCTCTTCAAAACACACAGGTAAGCCCACAACAAAATTCAGTTTCCACTGAAGTGCATAGAGCCATTCATATAAAGACAGAAAGGAGGGATGTTTTGAGAAACATTAAAAGCTTCCCAGTATTAGTGGAATTTTATTTTTCAACCATATAAACCAGTCTTTACTGCCAAAAGTACTAGATGCTGTGTATGACCTGAGACAACGTCTGCGGACAGGGCCAAGGCAGAGCCCGCGGGGCTGACGCTGCACCGTGCCCGGTCCCCTGCAGGCGTGCCCACGGAGCCGCCTTCTTCAGCGGCTTCTCGCCCACCTCTTCACACCCAACAGGGGCTCGAGCGCTGCATCCTCACCTGTGTCTCTCCTCACCTGTGTCATCCATCTCCCCTGGATGGACAGGACGCTGTACTAAAGACTGAGACCTCTAAGCACACCCTCTCAGTGCTTGGCCTCTCTAACTCCCTCATGCCTACTGAAGTTTTCCTGACCTTTGTTAACTTTCTGCATAGACTGTTGACTTATCCCCTCTTTCCTCTGGGGTCGGCGGTCTGGCTCCACGGAGAACCAGACCTGGGTCCTACAGTCCGCCCGCCCCACCGCCTCCCCGGTCCACTCACCTCACCCCACCGTGCCTCCCCCTGCCAACCTGCTGGCACCTAGGCTTCTGTAATGGTGAGTGACTGAGAGGAAAACAACCAGTATTTCTAGAGGATTTATCCACTTGACTAGTTAAGCAGCTTTGCCCCCCGGCCCCGCAAAAAATTGTAAACATGTGCTAATTTCTAGGAGAGAAAAGTTTAAGTGGTGACTAGTATTAAATCAAGTCTCTCATACCGATATAATAGAGCCTACAGTTTACTGGGTCTTCTTTTAAATATAATCATTCTTTTCACTTCAGTTCCACTGCCATCGCATGTATGGGTTATTTAAAATCATTTTCATAATAAAGTATTTAAATGAGTCCTACATGTTCTTCAGGGCAAATTATTTAAGATGATTCCTCAGTGCTTTAAAATCAACACATGTCATTATTATCCTTTTTTCTTTTCCCTTTTCTGGCTTTTGAGTATCTTTCTAAATACACGTAGAATAAAATCATTCAGAGTGTTCTCCCTGCACCGTGGATGGATTACAGCCCAGCTCTTACATATCACGTTTCTATTAATACTTGCCAGGGTCACGCTGACTTCTGTTAGATGTTTTTAAAGGTTCATATTTAGCTCATCAAGTATGACTTTACGGTATTTTTTGTTACTGTGCTGCTAATAAATCTACACTAAAGAGATTTATTATTTTAGCCACTTAAAAATGAGTTTTTCATCAAGAGAGGTCACTTTAAAAAAAATCGATTCCTGTTTTCTGTAATGCCAGCAGGCCTAATCCACCGTCTCTTAGAAACTGGGTATAAACACACGCTCAGGTCTATAAATAAAACCACCATGCTCACTGCGAATCTGCAGGACTCTGTGTAGCTGTCTCTTCTAGCTCATATGAAACCACCAATCATTATAGTTTAATGGGGAAAACACAAGTTTGACAATCAACCCATCAAACTGCATATTCTAGGCCATTTCTCTAATCTTTGGATGAAAATTTTATCTGAAGGGGAAAAAGAAAAAAAAATTTAGTGGAATAAGATCCACTAAATTATCCAAGAAAACAACCTTCGTGTTCTCAAGTTATCTCTTTTACCACTGCAGCTTGAGGAATAGATAATAAATGAACTCGGGGTACCCATGTAATTCAATATTTAAAAAAATTTTGGCTGATGGTAATTGAGTTTTGTAAAACATTCACGGACACAGAAGGAGCTAAAATGAAGAAATGAGCGTGCAAAGAAGCAAAGCTAAAAGAGCGTGACACCTGCCGCTCGGTCTGGTCTGAGCTCCCGGCACACGTGAATAGCCAGGAAGGGACTGGAGAATACACGTGACATTCAGGCCACAGAGCCCACCGCGGGGAGGGATGGAGTTCTGGGCTCAGTTGCTGACATCGTGGCCAACGTTAAATGACTGAGGACAGGAGAGGGGAAGAAAGAGAATGGCGAGGGCGAGCAGTAGCAACTAGAGGCAGGGATGGTGGCTGGCGGAGACGGGAGAGAGGACACCCAGGAACGGGCAGACGGGGGCAGAGACGCCGCCAAGTTACGGGGAGACAGGAGCAAACACATTCTTTTCAAAAGTCCAAGCGAGAAAAAGAACAGTACAAGGGAGGAAGTGCTAACTATCTCTGATGAAGACTGAGATGGGCAAGTAAGGGGCCAGAATGGGACTGAAACAACTGGACTGTTCAACACCGCTGCTGAGAGCTCAGCCATCAAAACACAGAACACCCTGTGGCCCCAGGTGCAAACCTGGTCACAAAGCCACTGCAGCATCGGGGTGCAAACCCTGGTCACGTGGCCGCTGCCGCAGACCCTCCTGACACAGCAACGCCGCGCACGGAGAACGGATACAGACACTTACTTATATGGTTTCTGGGGCAGGATGCTAATCCGGGTCTTGTCAAGTATCTTTTTTAGCTTGTTCCTTCCCCCAACGGTGTTGGCTTTACTTTTTTTATTCACTTTCTCCAGTCCTATCACCTGCTCCACGTCCACGGCGAGGTCGGGGATGGAGTAGCGGCTGGCCTTTTTGATGTCTCCAATTTTAGGGAGGTGAGGGGCGCCGTTCCTCTTCTCTTCTGACAATCTTGTGAGAAGTTCTTTAAATACTGAAAAGGAAGCAAACGCAGCAAAATGCCCGTGATAAGAAATCTGGACAACTCAGAGGCAACGGCAGAACTTGGAAATGGATGAGAAGTATAGATTTCAGCAATCAGAACTGTGATCCTGTAGAAAAACACCGCCCCCATGAATGAAAGACACCAAAGCTCTGTCACTTCCGCCCAGAATGAGCTACAATAAAGGAGTACACTCTTTAAATCTGTAGGCATTTAAAACAGGTATCAATAAAAACATCGATAAAGATAATGTTAGAGCCCTCAAGCAGAGTTTGATTTAGATCTGATTACACACTTGTGTAATTAATTCTATATCTATGCATTTTACTATATGTTTTCAGTTCTTATGATGTTTGAATTATAAAAATGGCTTTTTTCAGAATTAAAACCTAAATGTAAGTGGGGGAGGGAAACAGCTCAGTGGTAGTGTGTGTGCTTAGTATGCACGAGGTCCTGGGTTTAGTCCCCAGTTCATCCTTTAAAAAATAATAATAAATAAATAAATCTAATTACCTCCCCACCACCAAAACCAAACAAACAAGAAATTCAAAAAAAAAAAGCTTAAAAAAAGCTCCAAAAAACCTAAATGTAAAAAAAAAAAAAAAAAAAAAACCAAAGTAGGAGAAAAATAAAAATATGCAAAAAATGCAAAATACTTACCAAATAAATTGGTTTTCACAGTGATAGATAAGTGTGTGTTATTTCTAAGAATTTCCATGGCTTTTGACAGCTGAATATTTTCAAAGTTTTGACCATTTACTTCTAGTATCTAAAAATAAAAGTATAAAATTAATTTCAGTTTCCCAACTGACAGGGAAAATAAGACATTGGCATTTGCCCGGACGTGTGGTTCTAGAAGTACCGTACCTGGTCCCCTCGTTTCAAGCCCGCTTCGGTTGCCTTGCTGCCCGAATCCACACTGTCAACAAAGATTCCAAAGCCTTTCTCGGAGCCTCCCAGCAGGATGAACGGCAGCGGGGCTTCTCGGGATGGCTTGGTCAGCGTCATCAGCCTTCTTTTGGCTTTGGCGGCACATGCGATGTTTAACAGCCTTAGATGGCCGCCCATTTTCTACAAGAGTCGGGAAGGAGTGGTTTCAAAGGTAGGCTGAATAAAACAGACTTAGAGAGGATGGCTTTACAGAGTGAGAAAAGTATTACCTCTCTTTCCAGATTATTTTCAAATTCTTCTAGAAATCGAGTCATCGCAGGATCCCCTTCAAAGTCATTGAAGTGATTATTCACCCACAATAATACTACCCGTGTAACCTGAAAAATCAATTATTTTTTTAATAGGTTTTCTTCTTTTCAGTGCTAAGAATCTGTGATTAAAGTCATTTCAAAAGATATCCAACAAACCATTCACCTAATAACAATGAAAGAGAAAATTAACAACAAAACCCTCAGATTTTAAACATAAGTAGGGGGAGGGTATAGCTCAGCGGTAGAGCGTTTGCTTAGCATGCACAAGGTCCTGGGTCCAATCCCCAGTACCTCTGTTACAATAAATTAAAAACAAAACAAAACAAAACACCTAATAATCTGCTCCCCAAATTAAAAAAAAGAGAGAGTATGGCCTTCTGAAAATATATATTAATACTATGAATGCGGACTTCATGTTGCTTTGCCAAGAAGGGTTTTGAATCCGTGAAGGATGGTAATTAACTTATCTCTTGCTTACTCTCAAAATATATTTGAAACAGGTCACAACAAAAACAAAGCTATGCTAAAATCAAAATAAATTAATATAAGACAAAAGAAGACAGAAACTAAAAACTAAAGGAGGGCAGACCAGACAAAAGGAATGAACAGGATTAAGCCGAGAATCATCCTCAAAGGAACAAGCTATAAAAGGATGCAGCAGGTTAGGTGTTATTGGGAGTTTCTGGTTATTTGCTCACGTTGAGATTTGGGGGTTTTTCATACCTATAATTCTGCATAAAACTGAGCAGCCTTTTCTTACCCTGCACACACACTTTCACTGAGCCCCCACACCTTCATACAACACACACACACACACACACACACACACACACACACACACACACACACAC